ACTTAAATATGGTATATGATACAGAAAGTCTGAGAACAAATAGGATGGAGTCAATTATTCCAGGAAAATATCCACAACAGGAAAAATCTGGCAAATATAATAATATGTTATTATATTTGAGTGAAATACTATTTTAATATCTGTCAAATTAAACTTAAAGGCAAACCATTTTGTTAAGAAATAAAAGTATATTAAACAACAACAAAAGAAATAATGACAAAAAGAATAATGCAATAATTTTAAACTTGCACAAATTTTACAACATATTCTCAAAATATGTGAAGCAAAAAATTAACACAAGTCTTGGAGAAATGACAAATACATAATCATAGTGGGGGATTTTACTGCAGGTACAATACTCTCAATAATTGATAGTTCAAGTGCTTAAAAATTTAGTATGAGTGGAGAAGATTTAACTGCACAGACAGTAAGCCTTATCTAATGGAAATACATAGATTACTGTTTCCAATGTATAGAGAATACACATTCTTATCAAGCATGCAATGACTATGTTCTAAAACACAAAGCAACTCTTAACAAACATAAATGGATCAATAACATACAGACAACATTCTTTGGTCAATAAATTTGAAGTAACTCCAACATCTCACCCCATTTAGAAATTAAAAAGTATATTTCTTAAAACAAATATATTTCTAAGTAATTAATTAAGAAAGAAATTATAATGTGAATTATCTGGTAGCACATGTTATATCACAGTCATCATCATCACCACCACCACTAACACCATCTGGGACAGAATTTATTAGGGAAAACCAACAGAGACAGTAACAATAGCAAGTATGCAGATCTCTGTTACCCATCAAATACTTGGTCATCCCAGAAGGAATGTGCATGGCAAAACCTCAGACCTGGGAGAGGGACATTGGCTCTTGGGCTGTGAGTCTTTAAGCTACATCTTTGGAGAGGCATTTGCCTCTTTCCTGGGGCTGGGGTCCAGTAGCAATATGACATGGGAGAATCTTGGCCTCCAGTTCTCTTCTGCCATATCAGCATTCATGCTGTCAGGGAGCACAAAGCTTTTCACTGGCATGGCAAAGAGGATGGGGTCCAAGCCTTCTGATTGTCACTATACGATGTAGTCTGCTCTTTCATCTCAGCATCCCCAAAAGATGGATTGTCTTAAGAACAGTTTCTAAGGGGACCTGTGATAATTAAGAAAATTAGATTAGCAATTAAAGTTCACCCATATTAGACGATCGTTTTGGCAAAATCTACCAAATATTTAAGAAATTATCACTCTCCATCATACAAAAATTGTTTCAAAGAATAGGGAACCAGGTAACGTGCCCTCGTTTATTTGATGATTTTTCTTTCTTTCTTTCTTTTTTATTGTTTCGGGTTCATTGAGGGTACAAAGAATTAGGTGACACTGTCTGCATTTGTTAGGTAAAGTCCCTCTTATAATTGTGTGATTTGATGACTTTTGATATCAAAATCAGGCTGATAAGTTAAGAGAAAGAACTGCATGGATTAATCTCATTTATGAACAAACACCCAAAAATCTTCAATAAATTATTAACAAACTAAATTCATAGATAAACAGGTAGATAAATGATAAGGAACTTCTACTCCGTAAGGTTTATTCCAGGGTTTCAAAGATAATTTAACATTAGTCAACCAAGACACATAATTTATCACAGTAACAGATGAAAGAGAACACAGAATTATCTTGATCGATATAGGAAAATTTGCAGTCATGACTTAAGTAAAAACTGTAGAAAACCAGAAATAGAAAGCAAACTTCTACCAAAATATAGACAAGTATCATGGTTCATTTTGAAAACGTGGAAGTACTCCCTTTAAAGTCAGGAACAAAGGAAATATTCTAACTAATCATTATTTCATCATCACAGTGCTGAAGGTTCTAGGGCCAGAAAAAAAA